CCGGGAGTGAATGCCGGAAAACCCCACAGCGGGGAGAGGAGGAGGCCGGCGGCCGGAGGAGAGAGAGAGAGAGGCGGAGCGGGGGGAAGGACGCGGCGCGGCGCAGCACGGTGCGCCGCGCGAACCCCGAGGGGGGGGGGCGGCGCGGGAGAGGCCACGGCACACCCGATGACGCCCGCCCGCGCGGTCCCGGGCACCGCGGGCCCGCCTTCCCCTCCGTCCCGAACGCGACCCCCACCACCACCACCGCCACACGTCGCCACGCGCCCCGCAGCGGTGGCGGCGGAGGGGGGCGGGGAGGGAAGCGGACGGAGACGAGGAGTAGACAAGGGCGACGCGGTGGAGCCGGAGACCGGGCGAGCCAGGAGGGCACGGAGCCGGAGGGACACCGGGCTCGAACCGACCGCACCCCCCCCGCCGAGCGGCAACGTGGGGGGGAGACGACGGGCACGGCACGCGCGGCGCGGCGCGGCACGGGCGGCGACGACTGAGACGCCACCCGACCCCTCAGCGCAGCCGGCCGGCCGGCCGGCGACCGACCACAGCCGCCTCGACCCCCACACCGTCCGCCTCCCGCCGAGGGGAGGCGGGGCCTCGGGACCCAACCCACTGACGGGGGAGCGCGGCGAGACCGCGCGCGGCCCCGGGGCGCAGCGCGCGACGGCGAACGACGCCGAGGCGTCCCGCGGGCCGCCGCCGGGGCAACGCGGACCCCGGGGGGCGCGGCCTCACACGCGCCACGGGCCTCGACGCGAGGCCGACCCCGGCGGGGGGGGCACACATTTCTCCGGGACCCGCGTGCGGCGCGAGGGACCCCTCCTCCACCGGGAGGGACCGCGGCCAGGGGGCGGCGGGGGGGGGGCCGCGGGCTCACCGCGAGCCGCGACCCCGGACCCCGGACCCCGGACCCCGGACCCCGGACCGCCGCCCTCCCCGACACCGACACCTCGGGCACGCCACTCTCGCTCGCCCCTCTCTCTTCCGAACACCGCTCCCTCTCTGCGCGAGGGCGGCGGCCGACGGCGGCACCGCACCACGCGACGCGCGGCTCCCCCCTCCCGGCCCCCCCCCCCAACGCGCACGCCGACGGGCGACGGGGGCTGGGGAGGGGCGCTGAGCTCGGGGGGGGGGTGGGGCCGGCGAGGCGAGGCAGGCGCGCACCGACCGGGTCTGCACTTAGGGGGACGGAGGGCACGCCAAAGCGGGCCCTACGAGGAAGCCCCCAGCCGCGCGACCCCGGGGGACAACCCGCGGGTCGCGATTGATCGGCAAGCGACGCTCAGACAGGCGTAGCCCCGGGAGGAACCCGGGGCCGCAAGTGCGTTCGAAGTGTCGATGATCAATGTGTCCTGCAATTCACATTAATTCTCGCAGCTAGCTGCGTTCTTCATCGACGCACGAGCCGAGTGATCCACCGCTAAGAGTCGTACGTGAGCGTTTCGCTTTTTTTTTCTTTTTTCAGACGTGCGAGGGGGAGAGGAACGTTCCGCCTCCCCACAAGCACCCCCGACGCTGGCGCGACACTTCCACGCCCGCACGGGGCAGACGGGGTCGCCTCGGGCCGGCCAGCAAGAAAGAAACAGAACGACACCAGAAACTCCGAGGGTTAGGGGCCACGAGAGCGCGTTTATCACGCGCTGAGACGGGGCTCTTCGGCAACCCACCGAGCCCGGCGCCACGGCCCGCAGCGGAGCGGACGAGCGCACGGGGACGGAAGGACCGACCCCACAGGCGCCCGGGGGGGGGATCCCCACCACCTTCCCCCTCAACGGAAAGGGAGGGCCCGCGCCCAACGCCAACACGGCCCCGACGACCGGCCGGGTATACCCCCGAACCCGGCCGGGACGCCCGGAGACGTCA